TGTTCAGTGGTAAAATCATTAAGCAATGCAATATACTAGGTTACTGTTTTCCATATAAGCGTTTTGTTTTAATTAGATCTGAAGTCAGAGCTCAGATCTGGGAATAATGCCCCACCCCAATTAACTAAATACTTTTAAAATAACAGTGGGCTGCATAATGGAAAGTTAATACTGCTGTCAAATGTTGCCCAACAGTAATTTCACATACAAACCAACAAATCATCAAATGAATGCAGAGATTAATGCAAACAATAGAGCTTGAATAGATGAGGACATCATTATTTATGCTTATGTACAAGTTTGGTTGAAGGAAGTAAGAGAAGTGGGAGTTTTATTTTGCCTGACCAACAGGATGGCTCCAGACTCTTTTATCTTTATGCAACAATTCTGACCCTACCTCACAAATGTTGCATCTGAAATCAAGAATTGTAAGACCAAGAAACTTTTAACCAATGTGAAAACTCCAACTTTAGGGAGGCTGTGACTTCCTTCTTAGTGGACAGTAGTTCTGTGGTCTTCTGCTGCTGAAAGCCATTTGCTTTAGGGATGAACATGCTGTGTCTTTAGAAACGGTATTCTGGTTGTAAAGAGGAAGCTACCTCCTTCTGTCATTTCAAACTAGTCTTCCATCAACTCTAACATCAAGGAAGCAATAAATCTGGTTCACTGCATATTTTCTCTTTCTCTGAACATTCACTGTAAACCAAGGAGATGGTTCTCCTTGAAACTGCCAGCAGATTAGCAGTTTTTGTAAACTTCACTTAAATGCTCTGTCCTTCCCATTCTGATGCTCAGTGTGAACCGACACTCCTTCACCTCGACTAAAGACCTTAATGTAGTGAGTTGATACCTGAGGTTAAGCATCAAAACAGAGCAGAACCACAAGTGCAGCAGGTTTTAGAGACATGGAATGATGTATGTTTGGAGCTTCAATGTGTTTCCAAAGCTCTCTGAATCAATGATGAACTTTAACTAGTTTGGCTGGATATGGCATTTTGAAAGGGTGGTCGAGAGTCCGAAGCTACAAAACAATGTTTCCTGCTTTGTTTGTGTAGTGATGTTTGGTTATAGTTTGGTATAGTCCATTTGGTCGCTCAGGTTTTTTTTTTTTTTATAAGCAGACCCTTATCACTTTTTTTCCAGGGAATTAGGAAATTGAGCTTCACTGCTGGTAAAACAACATCAACAACTAAAAACACATTTAGGCTGCTGAACAATATCACATTTGTTCCTCGGCCAGGAAAAATATCAGTGTGTTTATTACTGAATAGCTTGGAATTTGCAGCAGAGAGAATTCCGTTTTATTGAAATTAAATTCATGCAAATATTTTTATTCATCTTGGCATTACAGGGCAGAATAACAAACAGATGTCCGGGCAAGCAGAGAGAAGCTTAAAGCTGTACGAAAGCAAGAACGATACCTGCCAACTTTGGCTTGTTATTTTCCACGGTGATTGTGAAAATGTATTGAGAGAGACATCATCTTATAACCTTGCAAGGAAATATGCTTCTTTTATCTAAACTGCATCACTTACATGCCATCTGCCTTGTATGTTTGATCTTGATCGAACATACGAGGCTTCATGCGATTGCATGTTGGTGCTGAAGGAGTCGACATGGTTAACTAATCTCTTCTCTGGTTTAGATCTGTGAAAGCAGAACTGCAGCTGAAGAATTCACAAGAGGCGCTGCTCAGATAATAGCATTAGAGGAATGAGCGCAAGTCAGTAAGCACCTGACTAGTAAGCACCTCTTTTGTAATCTCATCACAAACATTCAATTAGAGGAAGAGCTTTTTATTTTATGGCGCTTATTTGGATATTTTAATTAAATCATCCTTGAAATTATTTCAGAATTTTAGAACTACAACAGAAATTAACAGGCACTTGGTCAACAAGATGGTTTCATTATCTGCTACTTATAAAAGGTTAGCTTTTTGGGTTACTGCTGCATTTTTGGCATGTTTGTCTTTCCTACTTTTTCTGAAGACTGAGTAGATAAGTCTTACTAAAATTAATATAACCCTTGTAAAATGATCTAACAAAAAATAACTACACTTGTTTCTTTTGTGCCATAGGCCTAATGCTTACTCTTACAAGATAAATCTGACTGACAGCAATATTATTGCTAATTTAAATAAATATTATGTTACTTATTGATGAAAAAAATATTTTTAAATTAAAACTACCAGATAAATAAAAGGAAAGCAAGACTTGGCATTAAAATTTTTAGACCCCTCTAGCACTTGTTTGTATTTAATACTTGATGGCTGCAAAACTGTTTCTAAGTAGCTGCGTGCAACAACAACCCCTAAAGGTTGGCGTGCATTTCCAGCCCTGCAACCACTGTTCCTCTGTGGCGAGTTCTCACCCACCAGTAAACAGAGCGTCTGGCCACAGAATAAGTTTCAGACATCAGATTGCAACTCACTTATTTCTAAAAGGAACTATCTGAGGAAAATGTCTCAATATGTAGGTCAAGTTGCTGATTAATATTTAAGGTACAATGTCTTACAGCAGTGTAAAACTTTTTTTTGTTATCGACAATACAGGATGGATAACAAAAAGTAATATTAAACTTAATATCCAGTATATAAATCCTGTAGTAAGAATACTTGGTTTTTATTCAGTATGGTTAAATATGCAGAAAAGTATTTCCAGATTAATTAACCCATATTGTGTACATTTGCAGAATGTTTTATTATACGAACTGATTGTGTTGTCAATGTTATACATAAAATAATGTCTTAGCTCATGCACAGTGACTCTCTAAGTATAATTTGGATTGATTATTTTATGGGAGACATCAATGTAGAGGTTTTGTTTTTCCATGATAAAAAAATTAAATTGAGGCCATTGATGTTAATTATTGTAAAAAGAGCTTAAGAGACATGTTGAATGTTAAGGCCATAATCTGTGCAAAACCAGCAGTAATATGTGACTTCAATAAAGGAAGATGACTAAATAAAAGTGGGATTATAGCTTCATGCTGAATGTTTTTGTTGTAAGATGACAACATCACAAGTCAGTAGTGTGAAGCACAAGCTCTAACCACAGATGTGTTTCCACTGGAGGAACTTTGCATGGTACTGACATAGTTTTTCCAATACAGGAAGTGGGGCCCGATGTACTCATGTTATGGAGCTTTCTGAATAAACCACAAACTGAATGACAAGTTTTCTGATCAGTAACTTTCCTACTGGTTAATATCTCTCAATTTAAGCTCCTCAGATTTTCTGTTAGCATTAAATCTTGGAACAAAATAATCTAACCTTAAGGACTGAACAAATTAAACAAAGCATAAATATTCATTTTCTGAGTTTCTATGGAAGTGCGGAGAGAAAAGGATTTTAAACAGAGTTCAAGAGCATTAATGGTCCGACATAACAATGAATATAATCACAACATCATAGGATTTGTTTTATGGTTTTCCACATTTTTACTTTGTAAGAAATGAGGCGACTGCTAATTGTTGCTGTTGCTATTTGTGTCAGTAGACATAATTTGCTTCAGCAACTTGGTTTTTATCTTGTGTTTTGAGTTATTTTTCAGATGTGGTCATGTTAGCGTGATCTGCATGATCGGTGGAGCTAAAAGCCTTGCTAATGTCATGTTGAGAAGATGATGAGCTAAAATTATGCTGCTGGAGATCGGCCTCCATTCTTCCTCCAGCCTTTCCCAACCAGACACAACTAATCTATGGTTTGTTTAGTACTAGTGTTTTTTTTTGTTTTTTTTTAGATCAGCAGGGAGGTTTTTTCATTATGTTTATTCTATTTTCAATAGGTCAGTTTCGTTAATATTTACCATCTCCGTGAAGTTACAGTTGGCTTTAAGTACATGACCAGATACAATGCTGAGAGTTGAAAGAATTTGGCAAGCTAGTAACAAGGTAAACAAACAAACCAGACCAAGAGTGCAAACATCTGACTGAGTTTTTACTTAGTATTTGACGCTGGAAAGAGAGGAGTGCTTCTGTGTTTTTCTCCTACATGAAGCGAGGACAAAACCTTTTTCAAAAGCTTCCCTTGTGCAGGTAAAAGATCCAAAAAGCAGCTACTTTTAATGCTCTGTGATCTTTGGGAGTTAAAGGGTTGTCGCTATACTTTTACTACTCTTGTGTGATTTTGTGTGTTGGAAAGACAAAGATAACAATTTGGAGTTTTCTAATAGCAGTGTCACTTGTCGAGAATATGGTTTTAATGGTAATCTCAACTTAAATATGTGCAAAATACTGTTTGTAATGTAGAAACAATTTTATCCTTTACGACAGAGTGTTCTACAGGGAGTTTAAACAGACGGAGTTTGGAGCAATAAAAGTATAAAACTGGACGCAAATATGTTTTTAGGTGCTTGAATGGCATGACAGACAAGTTGATTTTTTTTTTTATGATTTTTGCTTCTGTTTATTGATTTTCATATTAAAAACATTAAAGTAAAGTCACTATATTCTACGTCCATGACAAGTCACATTCATATAAAGTTTTACTTTGCAAATCGGTGACTTGAAGCTATGTCATATTCAACTTATAAAACACAACTGTTTGATACTTTGAGACTTTTATTGTACTAAAAACCCAACAATTTGCATCGACTCCTATTCAGCTGTCGGCTCTTCCGCCAGCAGAAGTGTGTCTCCGTATGAGAAGGAAGTGACATCACATTGAGTCCATCCAGCCTTGTTTTTAAGCCTGAAGAGAAAGGAGGAAAATGAAGCAGATATGCCTTAACACAAGCATAAAATTGCAATGCATAGAAAATTCCTGGCATGTGATTATGTGACATTTCTGTTTCAGCAGATTGTCAAAACATTCTATGTTTTAGTTTTAGTTTCACAAATGTAATTTTGAAATCAGGGCATTGTAAAGTACAATACACTTTCAGGATGAAACTCAGATTTCCTGAAGTGTTTGACTATTCCTTCTACGCTGAATTTACTAATTAGAAAACTGCTTGAAACTGAAAGTATAAAATCTTTTTCTCCATGTTATGTGTTGACAGGCTTCCTGTCCTCTGGGAGAAATCTAACAGAAGAAGAGGAGGAAAAGTTTTCATCACCTGGATCAAACAAAACTGGCTAAATATCGAACGGAGGTGCATGGTTACAACACGGCACAAGAGCCATGTGGGAGGAGAGTGACTGGGATTTCATATTTACGAGCATCAAGTCCAATTATTTTCTCTGCTGACATACAATAACCTTTCCCCAGCCTTTCACCAGTGCTTTTCCTCAGGGGGAGCCCCTGCTATGAACCCCAGCTCTGTTGGCTTCAGCAGGCAGTCAAACCTCAGGGCCAGGGACTGTGTGGGCATCCCACAAGTCTGGGTTCTGCCTACACAGAACTCACAGACTGCCCCTGAAGAAAAAGAATGAAATACTCCTGAGTCACTCCTGCGTGTGGTCCCTTTGCTGTCTCGTGTTATCACTGATTTCTTGTCTGGATCCTTCCCTGAATCCTTTGCGCTCTTACAGAAATAGTCTCCAGCTCCTCCACCGCCGCCACCACCACCTCCTATTGATCCACTTCTTCATCATAATTTGCTTCCCCATCCAGAGGCAGCACGAGTTCCTTTGTGCTAACGACGTGGTGGAGGACCATGGGATGCCGTCAGAGCTCGGAGGAGAAGGAAGCGGCTCGGCGCTCCAGGCGGATCGACCGCCATCTGCGCTCAGAGAGTCAGCGGCAACGCCGTGAGATCAAGCTTCTCCTGCTGGGCACCAGCAACTCCGGAAAGAGCACCATTGTTAAGCAGATGAAAATCATTCACAGTGGTGGCTTCAACCTGGAAGCCTGCAAGGAGTACAAGCCTCTCATCCTCTACAACGCCATCGACTCTCTCACCCGCATAATCCGAGCTCTCACCACCCTTAAGATTGACTTTCACAATCCCGATCGCGCCTACGACGCCGTTCAACTCTTTGCCCTCACGGGGCCAGCTGAGAGCAAAGGGGAGATCACCCCAGAGCTGCTGGGGGTGATGAAACGTCTGTGGGCAGACGCAGGGGTCCAGGAGTGCTTTCAGCGCTCCAACGAGTACCACTTAGAGGACAACACCGCCTACTACCTAAACGACCTGGACCGCATCTCCGCACCCGAGTACATCCCCACTGTGGAGGACATCCTGCGCTCCCGCGACATGACCACAGGCATCGTGGAGAACAAGTTCACCTTCAAGGAGCTCACTTTTAAGATGGTGGATGTGGGTGGACAGCGTTCGGAGAGGAAGAAGTGGATTCACTGTTTTGAGGGCGTGACTGCAATCATATTCTGTGTTGAGCTGAGTGGCTATGATCTAAAACTCTACGAGGACAACCAGACGGTAAGGAACATTTCTGTTTTGGGACACTTACCCAATTGTAGTCAGATGTTTGTCATTCACTCCTCACATGTTTAAAGTTGCTGTCGGTTTTCTCTAACCCACTCATGCTCATAATTACATGTAGAGGTTCAAACCATAACACATTCACCCCAACTAATATTTTGTTAAATGTGTCTTTGCACATTACACGGCAGCTACATGTTTTTGTAGTCGTCAATAAGCTTCTGGGCCTATTAGTTGGATTTTTTCACACCATTTGTGGCAACATTGGTAGAATCAGTCTAAATGGTTTGCTCTGGCACAGACAAGACATTCGAACATTGTCCACATATATTTAGTTTCTGCAAAGAATCTTGATCTTAGCCTGCTTTTTCCATTCAAAAAGCAACTTTAATGCGTTTGTCCTGTTAGAACATTTTTCTCTCTCCAAGTTTCAACACCCTTAGCAGTCGAGTTTATAAACTTCATCTACTTTGACCAATGCCCCGGTATCTCCAGTAGTAAAAGAAGCGCAAACTAAAGACCTAAAATAAAAAGGTCCGTCTTGACTTCTCCAAGCACAGTTGTCATTCCCAGATAGCACAGAATGATTGAAACAACATTGAATCAATGTCAGCCAGAAACATTGAATCAACGTTG